TACTGCTCAATTCCGTATCCTTTTAACCAGTCCAGAAGACAAGGGAACTCTTAGACCATGTATTGGGAGAAATTTGTCTTCGTGGAGGACTTTTTGATGGATCAAACCCTCATTTACGTTCCATGGAAAGGAAAACCACTGCCTGACGGCAAGGGGACTCTAACCCATGAGGATATTCACTGGGGACCGGAATTCGTATCGACCCTCAGGGATTTGAACCCTCATGGGAAGGCCATCCCGCTAATAATTTGTATATCCGTCGTTGAACAGCCAACCCAATTTTTTGAGTTTACGACTACTACTGCTCAATTCCGTAGCCTTTTAACCAATCCAGAAGACAAGGGAACTCCAGTACCCCCAGAGGTATTGATTTGTTATGGAAACATGGAGATTTGACGTGTCCTTCAAGTCTCACAACATAAACGCCCTATTTGTGAAAAAAAATGTGTTATTTTTTGGATGGAGTTTCATTCGTTGAAAGCTAAATTGAAAAAACGCGTAATATTGCAAACACTACAAGTATAATAATATTTAGATTTGGAGTAAAAATAAATCGGAAGGCATCTTGGAAACTGTGCTTAGCTTTATGTGATATCGGAACAGGGTGTTATTTTTGGAACAGGTGGAACAAAAAAGTCATATCAACTTCTCAATGTTTATGTCTCGCCATTGAAAGTCAAATTGCCCTCATTTTCGAGCGATCAAGTTTCATCAGAAACTGAGAAATAAGAAGCTCTTATTCAAAACTCTTTTCTTTAATTTATAAAGTGTAACTATGAATAGGTATACACAGTTTAGTTAGTAATATAGTTGAATGTTTCATGAATTTGAAAATAATTATCAATTTAATTACATACTGAAAAACATTCATCTTAATTTTTAAATACATAAAATTTTCTACGATTAAAATACTGCAATACAAAATTAAATGCTTAACTTACTTTCAATGTTTGTCAGTACTATCTTTCTATATTGAAAAAGAATAGTTGTTGTCGCTGTTTCAGAAAATCATCAGCGAATGTCACTGCCATTACTCAAAAACTATTACCTGAAACGCTTTTGCTTTTGTAGTTAATTTACGTCACACTAGAACTGCACAATGGGCTATTGGCGACTGTCTGGGAAACATCCCTGAGGATGATCCGAAGACACACCATCACAATTTTGATTCTCTGCAGAGGGGATGGTACCCCCGCTTCGGTAGTTCGACGATCCACACGCGAAATCGAGCACTTTACGGCAAAACAGTTCAACGAGGACCAATACCGCGCACCCTCGGTTTGTGCGCAAACTAATCCACGTGGTCACCCACCCGCGCACTGACCGCAGCCGGTGATGCTTGACTTCGGTGATCTGCTGGGAACCGTGTCTTAACGATCAGTCCACTGCGGAACGAAACGATTTTGCAAAGTACCGATTGAAGAACATGCATATACTAAAATGTTTTTGATTCGGTTGTTATTTTTCGTTCAAATGGGAAGACTTTTGCTCCGCATAATTCAGTTTAGCGACTTTTTAGAAGCCGCATCTCCTTATAACTGTAAACTCACTTTCTTTAAACTTAGAATTAGCTTTGACGTCATTTTCACTCAATTGTTTGAACATTTTTTGGAATTTTATCGCAGTAAAATAATAGTTTTTTGAAACCATAATATTCTTATAAATAAAGATAAGAAAAAAAAAGTGATTTTTTTTTAAATTTTAATTACTTCGGAGTTGCAAAATTTTAACATTTTAATTACTTCTTATATAAAACGAAAGATAAATAAAAAGTACGTCCTCCAGTTGTATAAAACAAAATATTTTCTTTTCATGAAAGAAATATTATAATTAGGGAATTTCTTTCTTTGCCTTGTGTTCCCTCCTTTTCTTCATATCACGTGAGACTACGCCCCCTCCCCTCTTTTTATTAAATTTAAAAGAATTCTGTTTTAATTTAAATTTGATTTATTAAACTATTTACCACCGAGGTAAAAAAAATAAAACAGTCAATTTAGAAATCCTTTGGCTACAGCTGGTACAACAAGTGGTCCACTTTTTGAATATTTTACTTCTATTCAGTCTCCCATTACCTGATTATTTATTAAAATTATTTCTCCATTTTAGCTCTGAATTAATTTCTTATTTATTAAATAGTTTATTATTTCTCTTGATTTTTTTTAAAAAAAAGTTAAACATACTCCCAGCAGCCCATTGTGACCAATGACTTGATTGTGACAGTATGGTCACCGTTGTGCGTGCAGGGCGTCAAACTGTAGCTGGGGAAGAGGATCGAACCCCTGTTCTTCACAATAACAGTTCAGTGTCTTAACCACTTAGTGTAATTAATTAAGTATAAAAATGTTAAATTAGCATTATGGTAAAAATTAACATAGTGCGAAAATATTTTTTAATTTTTTATTTTATAAGCGTCGTTGAACATTCGACCTAATTTTTGGGGTTTTAAGACTTCTACTAATGTAATTTTGAACTCAATCCAGAAGATTGTATTGGGTGAAATTTTGATGGAACCTACTCGCGTTACATGGAGAGAACCTCCGACGATCTGTAGTGAAGGAATAATTGTTTGTATTGATAGAATAAATTAATTTATCTTCCGGTTTTGAAAAGATTGAACTATTCTAATAGTTTCATACTGTACACCGAAATTTTGATTTTCTGAAAAGAATGTTTGCCATATAAAATGTACTAATAAGAATTGCAATTGTAATAGGAATCTTTCGTGGTGTTCAATACAAGTTATTCATATTTCTGAGCAACTGATAACCTATTTTTGTACAAAATTCTTTTAGAGCATTGCACGGATAATTTTTATCTTTCTATAATGCAGTGCTAAAAATTTTATGTATATGCAGTCAGACCTCTATTAAACAAAGTCGCTAAATCCCAATAACAAGCTCGTAATATGGAAAATTCGTTTACTAGAAAATTCACAAAAGAGATTCACTTTTTCAAAAAAAAAAAAATAAATAAATAAAAAGAAGGTGCGTGTATGTTACTGAAGTTCGACTCCACCAGGTCGTTGACATGTAGGAAGTCCTTTATGGTCAGGAGATCAGGTGGCAGATCACTTCTTTAATGAGAAGTCCAAGGCAATCCAGTAGATGCTCGAGTGAAAGGACGCTGTATATACGAGCATCCATCGTATTTGGTGTTCAGTAGTGTACCAAGGCATGTTCTACTGTACCAGTAGTGTGTGCCACAATGAATTAAGACTCGATTTTACTTTGGTACATACAATCAGACCTCTGTTTAACGAAGTCGCTAAATCCCAATAAAAAGTTTTTTATATGGAAAATTCGTTAAATAAGAAATCACCATTTGAAATACTTAAACAAATCAAAACAGGTTTTAAATTCATAAACACTAGACATAATTAAAATTGCAATTGATACCCCTTTATCTTGTAAACTAGTATCTACTATTTATTTTATAAATCTTAACCATAAAAGAAATCTGCATGGAAAGCAAGAATAGAGCAAAACATTGCCCAGTACATGCGACATGCATTTTCAACTATAAAAAAGCTAAATTTATGTTTAAAATTATAGCTGCATTTATTATAAAAGTAATTTTAAACATACATTACCACACGCGTTTTTAAATTTAATTACTACAAATAAAATTCGTTAATTTTGTCAGGGTTTTGCGTTTGAAATGCAAACAAAGAGGGGTTTTACTGTTTTCTCTAAAAGTTAAGTTACTACGAAAAGCAATTCACGGTCATTTTCCCCTTAAAATGAGAGTTTAAAATTTTCTGAAATATTTTGGGAAATACGAAGGGTGGATCTTAAAGAAAAGTTCGTTAAATAAAAAATTTCCTTTGTAATTTGGAAGTTATTTTACGAAGAAATTTGCAAAAAGTTCTTGAATCCTCGAAAAAAATTGCAGAGTAGAGAAATTTGCAAAATGGAAGTTCGTTAAATAGAAGTCCGAGGGTTTTCGTTTAAAATTGAACATAAAACACTATTTATGAACAGGGTTTAGCTGTTTGATATCAGTTAGAATGCCTGTATTGAAACTGTGTTTTAACTCTAGTCACTCTAGTATCAGTGAGATTCAGAACAAAGGCAAAAAGGGAAAATGATTTCCTCTCAGAGGGTATGTGTTATTTTGTTTTAGGTGTACCCAATTGCTATGGCGTAGAAATGTCGTTACTTTCGTACTTGTTTAATTAAATTTGTTGTCTAATTATGTTTACATCAAAATCCTTATTTACAATTAAAACCTTTTTGTATCCAAGAGTGTTGAAAAGTTCCTGCATTTACCGTACATTGATCAAGATATTGTCTGTAGGATATTCCTTTGTTGATTCCCACAGAAAATATCCGACAATTTTCTGTAATGTTTTATTACAGGAAATTTGTGTTTTTTCACTAGCATCTCTGTCAACTTTGTTGTCTGATCGGGTTTCACCCTCAACTCTTTTGATATGTTTTACCTTTTCTCTATTTTCCTTCGTTTCTTTCCTGCAAGAGTAGAAACAGGAAATTATTTTACCTATTTCTGATACATATCTCTTGCTAGATCTTACAGGACACGACCCAGCAGAACACCAAAGTCAAGCATCACTGGTAAGCGACTGGGTGACCACTTCGATCAGCCTGCGTAGGGACCAGTATCGGTCCTCGTGAAACTGTTCTGCCGCAAAGTGTTCGACTTCAAGTGGTTACCCTTCGGATCATCCTCGGATCCTTCGGATCATTTTTTGAAAAGGAAAAAAAAAAATGTTTTTAGGGCATTATTATGTTTTCTCTCTTGTTTTACTAAAAATATAAGAGTTTTCTTCATTTTTGACGATCAAATAATATTTTGCGAACTTTTCTTTCTCTTTATAACAAAATCCAATTCATGACACTCTGCTATTATTTTTTCTACAAAAATATTGTTTTAGTAAGGAAATGATTGTCTAAAGCAAAATATTTGCGAATAATAAAATGCGATTTCGTAATAAAGTTACAAGTTTAGAAATGAAGCTTTAGGTCATAAAATTTTCTGCATTTTTTTGCGTTTAATAAAGAATCTTTTATTGGAAGTTTATTAACATTGAATAATTTCGGCCTACAATAAATCAAATTAGAACAATAAATAAAAAAACATTATAGTTTTTTTTAAATGCTCCAATTTTTTTTAATCAGTTATTTTCAGCAGATCATGGGTTAGAGTCCCCTTGCCGTCAAGTTAACCGTGGAAGGTTCTCGTGATCTTCCTCTCCAGTAACGCAAATGCGGATGATTTCCATCAAAAAATATTCCAGGAAGGCAAATTTTTCCCATACTTGATCCAGGAGCTCCCTTGTCTTCGGGATTGGGTTCAAAATTGCAAGGCTATGTAGTTGAACATCAGTAGTCATGAACCCAAAACCAGGTCTGCTGTTCAAGAACGGCTATAAAAATAAAATAAAAATCTATTTGTACTTTATTTGTTAAATGTTTTAACCATGTAAATTAGTGGAGCTTTCATTTTAGTAAACATCCTTTTGTTGGTTTAAAGCTATAAAATGATTTTATTCGAACTATTTTAAAATAAATTACAGGTGTGTAAATAAAGGAAGCAATAAAGTCATCTTCTAGATCAGAGGTCGCCAAAGTGGTCTATATAGACCCCCAGGGGTCTATTTAACATAAGCGGGGGTCGATCTAAGCCAGGGGGTCGATCCGAACCGGAAGGGTCAATTGGTCAAAGGATTATCAGTATTTTTTAGATATGTGACAATTAGAAGTAAAAGAAGAAGACTTGGAAATATATACAGGTAATCTTCAAAAATTGAGCGACTATTTTAAACTGCGTTTTGTTGATTTGGAAAACATTGACATCCCTGATTGGATTATTGTGCCATTTTCTGCTCAAATTGAAAACGTGGACATCAACCTGCAAGATGAGCTTGCTGAATTATTATGGGGATTTGAAGCAAAGACGCTTTTTAAAAATTTAACAATAAGCAAATTTTGGACAAATATAAATATAAATATAATGCAAAAATTTGTAAGACTTCCCGAAATAGCTCAGCCATTTATGATAGCATTTCCAAGTTCCTATATGGTTGAAGCCGGTTTCAGTCACGTAAATTCAATCTTAACTAAGAACAGAAATAAATTAAATGTGGAGTTTCGAGGGGATTTAAGATTAAAATTGACCAATTTTGAACCCAATATAACGAACCTTGCAAAAAAAAACTCCAGGCATTGATTAAGAAGCAATAAATCCGTAGTTACTTTACTTGTTATTTCTACTTACTTATAATTACTTATTATTTCATAAATATTAAGGTATTTATGTTTCAACATAAATATATTTTTCATAAAACTATTGTTACACTATGTACTATTACTTTAATAAATGTTCAAAATCATAAAATAAATGTACAAACACAGTATCTAATAGAGTTTTATTTTAATTAGCAGAAAATTACTTTTATGAGGGTCGATGGGGATTTCGAAAAATTATGTAGGGGTCGATGATCAAAAAAGTTTGGCAACCCCTGTTCTAGATAATGATATTGACCGTCATGTATGAAGTTGCAATACATACAATAATTTCAGTAATCAGCAAAATTCACTAAATTTGTGTAGGAAAATATTTTTGCAATAGTGGTGACTTTGGGTTAACATCACAAAACAAATCTTCGGGTGACATTAACAATGATACTTTTTGTTAATTTTCAGAATACATTTCGTACTGAAGATAAAGTACTTTCGTAGAATTTAAACAAAGATTTTTGTTAGATAATGAGTAAAATTGAACGATCTTTAAATAAAAATTTTCTCTAACTTTCAATGCAATAAGAAGTATGAAATATTATGGAATTTTTTCTGTTTTTGTTATAGTTAGTCTTTAATAATTTGAAAAAAGTTAAACAGTACAAGGGCAATGGAATGTATAAAACACTAATATCAACAACATTCAGTAAACGAAAGAGACTGATAATTTTTGTAAGAAAAATATCACTTATAGGTCCCAGAAAATAAGGCACATTCTTTATAAATAATTTAAGTGAGTCTTGATATCTCCCTTCCAATGAGGTGACCCAGGTTCGAATCCCAGAGATCAGACTTTCAAATTTTGGTAAAGTATTAAATTTTAACGATTAATGTGATTCTTTTAACCAAAGAATATGGTACATGACTATTAGTGGAATAGATTTCCAAGTATAACACGGTAATATGGTTCCAATAATGGCTCTAACCCTAACAATAAATTATTATCTGACTGACAACAACAGTTATTGATGGAATTTCTCTCCCTCCACTCCATCAAAAGGTCTAAGAGGTCGTGTATTCGATCCCCGGTGATTGATGCGTTAAATCTGTTGAGTCTCAAAGTTCTCCATGTTCCTATAACAAATCATGCCTCTTGGTTTTCCTTATCTTCTGGATTGGTTCAAAATTACAAGGCTACGGAGGTAATCCTTAGTATTGGGTCAATGGCGGTTATAAAATAAAATAATATCGTTTTTATGTTTATTTATATTCTATTCATCACTTTTAATAAGCCCTGTATAACAATAATAATTATTTTTACACCTGTCTTGTATTTCCGCCAAAGATCAAACAGAATCGTCTAGTGAATCGGTATTTAATATTTATAATGGCAGTTAAGTCATAAGATGAAAGCGTAATTATATTTGCTTTCGATAGATGTTCGCTTGATTTTTATAAAATTATAGAAGCATAAAAATCAGAATAACAGCACAATAATTTATGTGAGTTTTACTTGGACTCTCCGATACGATTCTTTTGCAAAATCTCTTTTTCAAGCTGAAAAAAGTTTTGAAGAGTTTACGTTCTCATAAAAGATTCTGAGTATCCACTTTAATTAAACCTTTAAAGCCGTTCTTATAATTGATAAATTATATTAGAATAAAAAATATTAACAGTCACCCGCAGTGGATTGATCGTAAAGACACAGTTCCTAGTAGAACACTGAAGTCAAGCATCACTGCTTGCGGTCAGTGACCACTTTGATCAGCCTGCGTAGGGACCGAGAGTGCATGGTATAGGTCCTCGTTCAACCGTGAAGTGATCGCGCTCAGGTCGTCGGACTACCAAAGCAGAGGATCAAAATTGCGATGTCTTCGGATCATCTTTAGGGATGTTTCCCAGTCCGTCGCCAATAGCCCATTGTGCTGCTCTAGTAGGACGTAAATCAAGTACGTATCAACCGTGTTCATTTCTCTTATTACTTTTGACATCAAGTGAAGCGCAAACTTATAAAATTAAGATTGAGAGAGATAAATTTTTCTTAAACAATACGTAAACGTAAAATAAATAAATAAAAACACTCAACTTAATCAACTTTCAAACAAAGTGGAAATTCAAAAGAAAAAAATCGCATTCAATTTAAAAATAGAAATAAACCTTTCAGCACGTCAAATCTTAACTCTATAGTTGCAGCCAATTCTGAAGATTTAAATTTCAACGGGCAACATACACGGTATTTTTTAACACCAATTTCAAGAGTTGATAATTCGTGAACTAATAACTGAATTTTAGTTTTCTTTTATTGCATCGTACTTATTGTGCATTTTTCTACTCACCTTCGTAATTTTAAGTTATTTAGTTTTATAGTTATTACGCGACAAAGCAAAACTTAACGTTAATTTGAACATCGAAGACAGCGATATTTTTGTTAATTTAAAAGAAAAAAAATCTATAATCTTTTATCACAGCAAACATCTTTAGCTTGTTTGGAACCCAAAATTTATCGTCTGATTCGTTTCAAGCATGCATTTTAAAGTTAAATTTGAGAAATATTCCATATTCGGATAACTGTTAACCAATAAAATCCATTTCATACGAAATATATCTATTTAATTTAAACGTAAGATTTTTTATTTATCCGTTTCATTTGAATGTTTTCTAGACGATTTTATTTGTTTTCTAATTGATTTGAGATGAAATATAGGGACAACATTTTTCCTCTTATACCGATTACCATTTCATCATTAATTTCTCTGCATTCTTACTGTAATTTACAGAGATTATTTTTAGGTTTTTTATGAGTTTGTTTATTTTATTCATTTAAGAGACGAGGTTATTTTTAAGTAGGCAATTCCTATTTATTTATCCTACTTAAGTTCTTGAATTTCTGAATAATTTAATCCTTAGAGTTTAGGATATTTTGTGAACATATATATATATATATATAAATCTTTGTGCAACTGCATTAATGCAGTTTAAGGTGCTAAAATATTTTGAAGCAATTCTAATAATGTAATTTTGACAACCACTTTCTAACATCTCTAAAATGAAACAATATCGGCCATATGACATTTTGTTTTACATAAATTAATTTTTAAAATGTATTTATTTACAGTTATTTAAAAAAAAAATTAAATGTCTCAGAATCTTTTTCTTTAAAAAAAATGCTTTATGAAATCATTTTCATTTAAAAATGAAAGTAGGTGTTCCAAAAAGACATTTAAAATAAATAAAAACAATCAATGTTTTATACAGAATAATAAAAGAAAGTAAAAAATAAATTTTCAAGGAATCATTTATAGGAATTTTCTCAAAAGATTGCACTCTATTTTTGTTTCAAATGAACGATTTTTACAAAACAATTCTTCAAATATCTAAATTCTAGTGTTAGGATGGATGGAAGAAACACCTGGCTTCATTGTCCAATCCTATTTCAAGATTGGAACGACAGCTGTTTCCTACTAGCATCTGTTCCGTTGGGTCAAAGCGCACTGATCCACAACCCAGCTGTCGGTCAATTTTTGTCCCCTTTTGTTAGATCCAAGCCTTTTTCTTATTGTATGGGGATTGAAGAAAATATTTGAGGGGTTTTATGAAAGAATTTCTTTGTTCCTCTCCTTGCAAAAGTTTTCCCACGGGGAGCCTTTTCTTCATTCAGGTAAGGGAATGGGTGGGTAAATAATGTATCTTAAACCTACCCTATTTTCAAATAGTAAGAAACGAGAAGGGCATAAATTTGAAAATTTTTAAACGGAAAAAAAATGGAATCAAACAATAAATAAAATTTGTTTTTTTGCGATATTACTAATTATAACTACATACAGTTCCTGGCCATATTATAAGATTCTATGTAAAATTTTAATTATCATTGGATATTATACAGCATCGTTGTTTTTGCACTTGTTTTCGTTCGTGCATCAATTGGTTAACAATGCAACGTTAAAAATAAATGCAAGTATATCTTCCGAATAAATTACTAGTGCCTTTGAAAATAAAAGTATTAACTCGTACAAAACATGTCATTAGTAAAAAACTACAGCGCGTCTAATAATTTGGTCTAATTATTATAGTGTACTATAATAATATTTGACATAATAAATATTCTATATCTATATAGTATATCGTCTACTTTATCCAGTCGTCGAATTTATATCGTCCAATTTAATCAATTGATAACTAACGTTAA